TGCTTTGGGTTTTGGGTTGTGTTCTGGATTGTTGTTTGGGGTTGGTAGGTTGCTTTGTTACGGGATTGTCGTATTGATTGTTGGGAGGTGCTTTGTGTTTTGAGGGCTTTAAGGGTTGATTTGTTAGGCGGGTTGAGAAATGGGATGAAAGTGTAGGGGGGGAGTATAGGATGTGAGGTGTGGGGTTAGCCCTTGCTGCAGATCCCCTGAGCGTCCGGCACATGGTATTCACGAGGTCGTAAATCCCTTCATGGAAAAATCTCTGCCTGCACAAACGTCTGCAGCAGCTTTCCGGCAAATGGCACACTGGCAGTGTGGCCTTTCTTCTTCAAGCTCTTCAATGCGCCGGTTTGCCTGAAGCAAGCGCTCGGTAAACAGCAGGCGGCGACAGTGGTAGTTGGTTGTCGCTGGGACCGCGGCTTCTGCCAGCTGAGATTGCAGGGCAAGGTTGTGCTCCTGGGAGTGGTAAACGATTGCAGCAGCCACAGCACCCGGCGTCGAAGCATGTAAAAGCGCCCGTGTGCAGCTGAACACACTTTTTGTGGTCCAGCGTTCAGGCGCCTACCCAGACCCTAAACCCTAAACCCTAAACCCTGAACATGCCTGAACCCTAGATCCTGATCGGGACAAACCTGTCCTGCAAAGTCCGTGGACTTCCCTGCGGCCTGCACAGCTCGAGAATGCAGAAAAACACGCTCGGAAGATGGGGATGGGATCATCCGGTTGATACTAAGAATCCTGCATGACCCTAATATACTAGAGTACCATAATTCCCAAGGTACAAGGTACTTAAGGTCATGCAGGATTTTAGTATCCACCGTCTCTCCATGCAACCTGAATGATTGAATTTAGTTAAGGACATCTACCGGTACAGGGCTTTAATTTCCATAGCACTCCCCATAAGAGTTCCATAACGTAGAGTAATATGGAAAGCCTACGAGAGGCTACTCGCCTGCAGTGGGCTTTATATGTGTGTATGTATACAAATGTGAATTTTGGTCAGAGGTAGCACACCGGACTGTTGAAGACACATAATATGTATTACATAACGTAATACATATGATATCCTATTGCCATCATTACATAAAATACGTTGCATATTTCAACATAATATGCAGACCAACCCCATCAAGCTGGAAGCTGTGTACATGACATGCAGCTGCATCATTACCCTAGACCCTCAACCCTAAGCCCTAAAACCTCAACCCTATCCCCTAACCCTACACCTAAACCTCAAAACCCCAAACCCTAGTCCCTACACCCTATCTCCTCAACCCTAGGCCCCAAACCCTAAACCTTAAACCCTCGCCTCGTGTCTGACTCCAGACAACCCCCATCGTAGCCGGCGCCGGCAGAATCTGCAGGGCAGCGGGGCAACGATACGACGACTACTTGTAGGGTTCAGGGGGGACTTGGTAAGTTTAAAGTTTAGGGCTTAGGGGGACTTCGTAAGTAGGTAAGTAAATGGAAACTTCAATATATAGCGTGATCACATAGGGAAATTTCCCGTAGATTATTGAGAATCAGATGTAAAAGAACATGGAAGATGAAATAGAAACTGTGACTATATGATACTGTATGAAATAGTAACCCCTGCGCCTATAACCCATATAGTAAACGTGATTATCACTCCTATTAACCTCCCCTGACCCGGCCTTGCGCAGCCTCCTCATCTGCTGGGGAAGCCTACGGTGAGTGCATAGCAGGGCTTTCGCGTTTTGCTACTTGGTCAGGGAATGCTTCCGAGGGGGTTCTACAAGGGATTATACGGCATAGGGTTGAGGGTTTAAGGTTTGGGGATTTAGGTTTAGGAATTAGGGCCTTTAGTCCAACCAGCTTGTTGGTAGCAAATAGGGGTTTCGCTAGGCATACCTTCAAAGGAGGTATATATGGGTTATACAGGGGTTAGGGTTTAGGGTCTCCCAAAATAAGGGCTCATTTTTTAGTGTGTCCCATGATAAGGCTGATAAGGATTATGGCTTTTTTGGGGCCTATGTTGGAGTCCCATTGTTTATGGAAACGGCCCTATAATCCCTCTGTAATCAATCCTCTATACAGTAGCTTTTACGTCATTTTCCATCTCACGCTCCGTTTGATTCTCCATTATTGGGGGAATATCCCTACACCCTAAACCCTAAATCCCAAACCGCAGACCAAACCCCAAACTCTAAACCCAAAACCCTAATGCCAGCCTGGCAGTTCTGCGAAAGGCGTTGCAAAGCGGCTGCAGCTTCCTGGCTGCGTTTGATTCACGGCGCGGGCAAGAAACACCAGACATCCGCCACAAATAATGCTGATTACTAGGGCTACTGTATGGGTTATAGAGGCTACTAACCCACATAGCCACAGCTTTCCATTTAATTTTGCACGTTTTTGTCCATTTGCTTCTTCTTGATTTAGGGGAAATATCCCCATGTAATCCCCCCTATGTATTGTAGATTATTGGAGTTTCCATTTACTTACCTACTTACTAAGTCCCCCGAAGCCCTAAACCCTATGAACCCTAAACTTACTAAGCCCCCCCTGAACCCTAATCAGCCCTACAGTAATCCCTAAACCCGGAACCAAAAGCATCTGCTGCGCATCCTGCAAGCTCTCAGCCACACCCTGGAAGTTCTGACGGACACTGCGGCTCGGCCTCGGCGCATGCATGGCTTCTAAGGTTGAAACCATGGGCCCCTAGAAGAGGCCCTTACCCCTGGGATCCTTATATACCCTTAAGGGGGTCCCTACCCTAGAAACCCCCCCTTAAAGGGCTAAGGGCCGATATTAGGGGCCGACTTAGATGGGTGCAAGATGATGCCAACGGCACTATGCCTGGGAAATTGGCCATGGCCCTAAACCCTAAACCCCAAACCCTAAACCCTAAACCCGGCTGGCGGAGCCAAGACCCGCGCGAAAGAATACAGGGCAAACTTTTGGTCATCTCGCCAGCCATGTCGCCAGCTGCCATGTTGAAAAGTTGGACCGTCTTCGCCTTTGGCAATGTGGAGGCTTCCCAAAATTAGGGGTACCTCTTTGGGGTCCCTATAATAAGAAGGACCATAGTAGTTTGGGGTCTATATTGAGGTTCCCCCTATTTTGGGAAACTACCATGTGCCATGGTAATGATTCAATCTTTCGAGCACGTGCCGATGGCAAGCAGCAGCTACGTTGGCACCCTTCCAGGACAAGGCACCAAATGTTCCCAATATAGGCCATTTGATGACTGCTGAGAATATTCATTCTTAGGGGCGTGAAGTTTGTTAGGAGCAATGGAAAACTTTGAAGCTCTCGGGCGCCGCACCTCTGGCAAGCGCTCCGTTGCCGGCCTCATTTGGAGGGCAGGCTTAGTAGCAGCAGTGATTACGAGTACTACTTTTGAAGCAACAGGCAGCCAGGAACATTGAGCTAAGTAAGAAGGCGAAGTTCTGGGTTTCAATGGATCGATCAGATTCATGATTTTACGGGATTCTCCGTAGAGACCGCGACCAAATCCCTTTTTCATCTTAATGTCCCTAAACCATCCTAAACCCCAATTGCAGATGTTGCATCTGCAGGTGAAGCTGCCCTTTCTCCACAACGGCAAGCTGTCCAGAGAGAGATGATGACCCTTACTAAATTATTCAGGATTACATAGGGGCTACTTCTGACGAATCCGTAAGTTATGGCCGCCATGGCTCCTGCCTACTTCTGAGAGGCGGAGGAAGACAAAAACGGACTAGACTAGACAACTGCCTCTGTTGCAAACAATACATTCACAAAATCCTTGACAGGTCTGCTGCCTTTTGCAACTCGCCATCACCACAGCCATCAATCCGTTCACTGACGTCAGACCTAGAATGCTTCATTTAGATGATGCCAATGCGGTTGGCCACGTCCAGGGCATCGTAGTCCTGGGTGAGGCGGACGTAGGCCTTCTTCTTCCTGCACCAAAGGCTCCGGCCAAACTTCTGAAGGCTTGCCATCATAGGGGCGACGAATGACATCTTATGAAACATGAAGCAACAACGATCATCAACCCATTTGTGGGGCACTGCATGCAGCCATGCGACCCATCGGGGCGGATGAGCGTGTTGACCTTGGCGCACTTCACATCGTAGAGCTGCTTCACGGCCTCCTTGATCTTGGGCTTAGTCGCCTTGAGATCCACAAGGAACACTAGGGTGTTGATCTCCTCGATCTTCTTCATGGCCGACTCTGTGGTCACCGGGCACTGGATGATTCGGTACTTGTCCAGCTTGTCGCCGCGGGACTCAACTGACCTGCGCGGGTACTTGGGGTCCCGCGCTTTGATCAAAGTCTTGGGTCGGTAGAAGCGGACCTTCGTGCGCACCTTCTTTGCCTTCTTGCTCACGCTGCCCTTCACGGCCTTTGCGGTCTTTTCCGCTTTCTTGGCCTTGTCCCCCTTTGGAGCCATTTTGCGTGATGGCGCTCAACTGCAGCGCAGTCTGTGGCAACTGACTCTCTACCGTCTTCGGGCCCATCAGTGCAACGGAGCATGCTTGCAAAAGAAGCCAGTACTTACACAACATGAAACGCCGATGCCTATGCAAAACCGGCAAGTTCCGTTATCTCAAAACTAGACAGAAGAAGCTGCAGATTGCTGCAACAAAGAATGGAGGCACCTTCTGGATCTTTTGCGGTTGAATGCGTCTGTGGGTAAACATGAGTCTGCGCAGCTCAGATGATGCCAATGCGGTTGGCCACGTCCAGGGCGTCGTAGTCCTGGGTGAGGCGGACGTAGGCCTTCTTCTTCCTGCACCACAGGCTCCGGCCAAACTTCTGAAGGCTTGCCATCATAGGGGCGACGAATGACATCTTATGAAACATGAAACAACAACGATCATCAACCTAATTGTGGGGCACTGCATGCAGCCATGCGACCCATCGGGGCGGATGAGCGTGTTGACCTTGGCGCACTTCACATCGTAGAGCTGCTTCACGGCCTCCTTGATCTTGGGCTTAGTCGCCTTAAGATCCACAAGGAACACTAGGGTGTTGATCTCCTCGATCTTCTTCATGGCCGACTCTGTGGTCACCGGGCACTGGATGATTCGGTACTTGTCCAGCTTGTCGCCGCGGGACTCAACTGACCTGCGCGGGTACTTGGGGTCCCGCGCTTTGATCAAAGTCTTGGGTCGGTAGAAGCGGACCTTCGTGCGCACCTTCTTTGCCTTCTTGCTCACGCTGCCCTTCACGGCCTTTGCGGTCTTCTCCGCTTTCTTGGCCTTGTCCCCCTTTGGAGCCATGCTGTCCAGCTGCACTGCTACAAACTGGCTTGAACCGCAGCAACCTCACCAAACCACATGCCCTGGCAGTCTTTGCTTCATCATATCTTACAGCATGCAGCAGGACAGCTGTTCCGAAACACGATCGATTGCAATTGAGGCGGTGACGGGTACGAAGAATGCCTGGCCATGGGCTGGCGACGACGGGCCTCAGCAAGACCCTAAAAACGCGTGAGTGTTAGGATTTGGCCGGCAAGTGGCGCGGTTCCTATTATTGCGATTATCCCATATGGTGGGTGAAGAGCAATCGCGGCATCGAATCCCCTCACATTCTGTCCAAGCGACGCTAGCGGCGCTGGCTGTACCCTCGATTGCCTCTTGAGCTCTGGCTGCTGTGCCGCCTGTTAGTTTCCAAACAAACCCCAAAATCCTATGACCCTTATTGGTGGGACCCTGAAGCAAAGACTTCTAATTGTTGGAAAACCCCACCTGTGTGAGGAAACCTTTCTTGATTGCAGCAAGCATCTGAATCTCCGGGTGGTGCTGCGACTTTTTGAGGCACAGATTCATGCTCAGTCTGCGCTGGCTGTTCCGGTGAGATGCGCTGCGGGTCGTTGGGGGAGTGTTTGGCATCTGAGTGAAGGTTTGCTTCAACCTTGCCATTGCCATGATTGTGACCTGCCGGCTGCTCAGCAGGTTCTGGGCCTCCGTCTGTGCTGCATTTGTTTGACATCACTGGCCACTCGAAAGCGGTGCCGGTTGCTTGATGTCTGGGTCTAGCATCGTCGTCCTTGATTGTGCTGCTATGCCCTGAAGAATTCGGGGTGGACCTGGGGCCGGTTGCTCGCTGCAGCTGCCCCAATGTGACCCCGTGCTCCTCCGCATGATGGAAAAGTATAGCAGCTGCACGTGGAGGTTCAGGGTAATTACAATTCAACTGGCACGCATCTGCTTAGCTTGCAATGGGTCTAGAAGTACGGCCATATCAAAGATGTGATTGCCCAGAACCAACAAGTCGTCGCAAACCCAAGAAATCCACACAATAAAGTACTATCATAATCTATTTGTATCGGGGCATATTTAAACTTGCAGGGTGGGAGGGTTAATGACTGCGGGGAGGCGATAAAGACCAGCACCAAGCAAACAAGCAACAATGAAAGGGAGTGCAAAAATCCGCAGTTGTCCCTCAAACGCCCGTCGGGATCATCCACAAGAGCCGCAGCTGAGGAACAAATTGCAAAATGCACCGTTTTTTTCAGAACAATGGACAACAATTTAGTCATACAATTCAGAAAATCCATCGACCGTGCAATGCTTAGCCAATCCGCTGCGCTGCAGGATTCTCAGGTACACTACATTTGTACGTGCCCGCAACTTTATCTATACTGGTGCCTGCAATTGCAAGCAATCAGCAATTCTTAGATCTGACCCAAACCTTCCAGGTGGAGGCCTCACTTGATTAGACCTGTGGCAAAAGCGCCGACAAGGCATTTGTCCTTCTGCCACGCCAACCAACTTTCTTTGGCCAGCTGGCCTGGCAAACGGTCTACTTAGAGGTCTATGGAGGTCTATGGAACTTGGTAGCTGTTTCTACCAGGTTTTTCAAACCCATCTACAATTGGGGCAACACACTTCAAGATGGAGCTTCTCGAAGCCAACGCCCTAGAGTTTCAAATCCTTTTCAGGTTGGTGGTCCGGTTTCCTGCTGCCCAAGACATCAGTAAACATCATCCCGATAACATCTTACACAAGGGTACACTAACAAAGCGTGGTCGAACATGTAGTAGAGCAGGGCTGCTTATGCTCGACCACATCTATAACCCCATGTGGCACCTTCCCGTCGACGCTCGCGATAACCTGATGGAATCACCGTCAGCTGATGTCAAATGCAAACACGAAAGCCGGGCAAACTCTCGCATTTATTTGACGGTACGAATAACTCCTGAACTGGGCAGCCACGTCACCCGAGGCATGTAACGCTAAAATGAGACCACGTCCCAACACAAATGTTGCCCGATGCGATTGCCATGCTTGAAGACGGCCAACTACATCCAAAACTGCTTCAGCCACCTCATCACATGGTCGCAATGTAACATCGGTCTTTTTGTCATTATTGTTGCATGGCTGCTTGCTGTTATGGCTTGCGCACTGTGCTGATCTCTTCTTGTGCCTAAACGTGAAATGCAAGCTTAACATCAACAGGCCTCGGAGGGGAGAGATAGGCAGGGACGCTTCTTCGCTCATGGGGCCGCGGTCCTGGCAAACAACATGGGCAAAGCATCATGCATGATTACTCCGCAATCTGCATGGGGAATGTACTGGTTCTAACATGATACACCGAGTCCTTTGCTGATGCGGGTGCAGTGCACCCCTGCGATCTATGAAGCCGCACAGGTGGGTCTTCGTCGGCTTTCGGAACTAACTGCTGCCGCAGCTGTGCGTCGACTGACTCCACATTTCCTGTTTGATCCAGTTCCGCACAACTTCGCCCTGGCTTTGGGACAACCTCACAAGCAAGATCATCTGGCAATGCCCATTGCAGGCATGTGGATCCGCGCTTGTCAGCGCACATGTCTGCCTGCCTCTCTTGCTTCCACATCTCCGGGCTGAATCCGTTTGGTTGGCGCCTGTGGGCACATGACATGCGCTAAAACAAAAACCCGTCAACTTCATGGGGTGGGTGATGAATAACGGGTGCAGAATTAATTTGGGAATTGTTGTTGTTTTATTTTGGGATTTTTTTT